GAGTAGGGAAGGGGGAAGATGCTGATGGCCTCTGACCCACGGAGGTGGGGGAGGGGATGTGCCCCCCGAGCTTTTACGCAATGAGGGAGGGACTAGAAGGCGGCACTGCTGAGCCCTGACCTCTAACCCCCCGGCGCGTGGGCAGGCTGGGTGATGACCTCTGACCTGAGGGTGGCACCCCCCGATCTCTGCACTGTGACCCCTCCCCTGGGCAGGGCACTGGGTGGGGATGACCGCCCCATAACCTTTGCCCTGGGGCGGGAGCTACGATGACCTCTGTCCTCTGACCCCGCTGATCCTGACGGCCCCCCTCTTCCTCCCCCCCCAGGCAGTTTGTGGAGGAGGTGGCGGTGGACTTCGCCCGGCGACACCCCGATGTCGTCCTCTATATCAGCCCTCACTCCAGCCAGGCCCCGCAGCTGCTGGCCGAGTACCGTGAGTGTGGGGGGCGCGGGGGTTTGAGGGGGGACAGGATGGGGCCCTCCCTGCCCCAGCTCTGCGCTGCTTCTGCCCAGCAGCAGACGGGCTGTGGGGTGGGAGGACCCTGGCCTGACACACCCCCCCCCCATTCTGCTGCAGTGAACGGGACAGTGCGGGAGGAGCTCATCGCCAATAAGACGAGCGAGGAGATCACGCAATTGGCCACCAAGCTGGCTGGCCAGTCTGGCCTGGACATCATCCGCATCCGCAAGCCCTTCCACACCGACAACCCCAGCATCCAGGGCCAGTGGCACCCCCTCACCAACAAACCCTCTGCCCTCACCGTCCAGGGCCCACGCCTGCGCCCCCAATAAAGCCTCTGTCTCCATTTCCTCCTGCCATCCCACGCCTGCAGAGAGACGCTGCCACACCACGTCCAGACAGAGCCGCGTTTATTGCCAGGGGGCACATGGGGCTGAGCGCAAGGGGGCCAGGCACAGAGGGCGATGTCCCTCCTTGGGAGAAGGGTGTGCTTGGGGGTGGCTCATCCCCCCCCTTGCAGTAAAAACAAGGGTGGGGGCAGGATGGGAGAGCCTAGGCATCTGGCTCTTGCCTTTTCCCACTAAGCCTTGCTCTTCTGGGGAGCAGGGTCTGGGCTCCAGCCCATTATGGATCCCCCCTCCTCCTTCTGCCCCCCCCACAGGGCTGAGCTCTGGGCAATGTCCTGATCCTGGAGGTGCTGGCAAGGAACACAGAGGGGAGGACACCTCCCCAGCAAGTCTGTTCCTCCCCGTCTTCTCTGGTGTCACGTCCCTGTCCCCGGGATGTGAGACACTCTTGTCACCCCAGTCCCTTGGGTTCCCCCAGGAAGCGGCAGGAGCAGAGGTAGATGGGGGGGGTTTAGGAACAGTGGCTGCTCCCAGAAAGTGCCATGAAGAGCAGGAGGCTGCAGAGGGAGGCAGGCCCTGGTCCAGGGCTCCTGCTCCTCGCTGTGCGAGGATGTTTCTCCCCCCAGATGTTGTCCCACAGGGGACAGGGCTGCGCCTGAACCCCAGTTCTCCAACGGCACCATGCAAGAGGGCAGAAATACATGGTGCCCAGGGCCGCGGGGGCACTGTGGACGTCGGAGGGATGTGGGTGCTGCGCTGGTCCCTCGCCACGCTGCAGGGCACAGCGGCGGCTGCCGGTGCATCTCGCTGCCTGCTGCTGCCTCCTGCTCTTCCCCTGCAGTGCCCTGGGGAGAGGGGGCAGAGCCCTGTCAGGGTCGCAGGCCCTGGGGGTTGCCACCTCCCCAGGGCACCCAGTCCTGAAGGTCACCTGGGGCCTCCTTGACGAGGGCATGTGCCGCTCCACCAGCTGCTCCGGGGTGTTCGGGAATGTGGGCTTCTTGCCTCAGCTCCGTCCCTCGCTGAATCATCCTCTCCCTGAGAGGAAACCCTGAGGGAGGAGACATAGGGGAGTGGGCAGGGGCTGGCAGCCACTGAAGCCACTCCCCGCAACGCGAGATGTGTCTACAGCCCCTCTCCTGCCCCGAAGCCCCCAGCTCTCTCCCTGCTCCTCACCCACCTCTCAGCAGCTGTCTGGCTCCTGTGCGCTGAGGGATGCCCAGTGGGGCAGGCCAGGTCCATGTGTCCACAACAGCACCTCTTTCTCATGCCTGGAGGGACAGACAGACGGAGTCTCCCTCCCCCCCCAGTGTCCACCTTCAGCCAGGCGCCAGCTCCTGCCTCCAGCTCGTGGCCGCCGTCGGTGGGTTTTTATACATAAATAGAGCTCCCAAATTTAAATAGATTCTTTTCCTTTTTTTTTTTTTCTGTACAGCAAGACTCAAAAGTGAGTGAAAAGCCGAAGGAAGGCCGAGCCCGGGCCCGGCCCAGCTCTGCCATCCAGGAGGTAGTTTCGCTTGAGTCTTGTAACACTGCTGGCAGGGGGTGGGAGAAGGGGCTGGAGGAGAGGAGGGTCCCGCTGGCAGGACGCCCCCCCCCGGCCCC